CCCAGGACACACTGGTGTATCTACCTGTGAGAAACCCTGTGGAGCAGTGTGTTGACTTTGGTTTACCCCATATGTCCCATGCTTACTTCCTCTTTACCCCACTCTGTGTAAGCCATTATTCCCTGGGAATGCTTTGGGATACTTGCCATGACTCTTTGCAAATCGGTCATTGTATCACTCTGGTCCTTCTTTTAGTCATTAGATTGTGTATAAATAATTTTTCATCGTCAATGTTATAGGGATGATGATCCCAAGGATGACTTCTCTGTTTTTTCCTGAAGATGGAGGAGAACTCCTGCTGCTCTTTAGGGGCTTGCAGCAGAATTACGTAGAGGAACAGAATGAATAGAACATATATGCATCACACTGGGGATCTGTTAGGTAGGCTTACAGAATGGGAGGTGGGAGAATTCCCGATGGCCATCTGCATGCTGGGGAGCCACAGACCCAATAGCTGCTCAGTCAAGAAGATGAAAGCTGTAGTGCAAGAGGGATCAAGGTTGCAGCGCCAGTCCAAGGTCAAAGGTTAATGGTCTGGAAGCTCACTGAAGGTCACAGTCTTTGTTCAAAGGCTAAAGAAACCAGGACTTGGAGACTAGAGTCAAAGGGTGATGGACTACTTCCTTCTTTCCCTTTTTATTCTGCCCAGGTTACAAGCTTGTTGGTTTCTGCCACGCACAACCTGGCTGGGTCTTCCCTGTTCAGTTTGCTGATGCACACGTCAATCATCTGCAGACACGCCCAGAACTGTGCTTTATTAATCTGCTAGGCAATTTTTAGTGCGCTCAAATTAACATATGATTCATGGTCACAGAGCTCATTTCCCAGGAACTCTTCCTCCTTGTTTAAAAAATGAACACATAAGAACCTTTACCTGAACTACTCTTAAGATCTTCCCAATCCAAGCCTTTCAAGATATTCCTTAGGGAAAAGTTCCAGCCTGGTTGTAGCTAGGAGTATCTGCTGATCCACAGTTCAGCAGGGAAGAAAAGATCTTAGAGTTCCTCACAAGCTGTTCTCAGGCCCCTGAACTACATGAAGCTGACTGAGACAGTCTGTGACCTCCCATCACCCCCTTTCTACCCTTTAACCAGGATCACTATAGTGTCTCAGGCTATACTGGACTCCAACACCTGACTTTTTAAGAGTGTGCGCTTTCATCCTCTTTTAGGATAGTAAATACTTGCCTATAAATACAGTTAGATTATAAAAGGTCTGGCTGAGACTGTTAAGAAATAAAGCATTTTTGACTCATCCAACACAATGGAAAATTTGATCCAGACAGCTGTTAACCAAAAGCTGCATTCGTAGTTGGTTTGTTTTGTTTTGCTTTGATGTCTTCTTTTGAACTAGCCAAAAAAACCAAGGTGTGGGGAAGGTAAATGGCTCTGTTGAATGTGCCTGGCCCGCTGGAAAGAGTAGACTTGGTCATTGGGAAAATAGATACACACTGCAAAGGAAGTCGGGTTGGGAGTGCCTCATCTGCCATCTGCCCTTTGTTGGAGGCCAGTCTTCATAGAAGGCTGCTGCTCCACCCTGCATCCCACCTTCATCCTGGGATGCACTGATCCAGAGCACATCTGCACTCTCAGTCCTGCCATTCTCATTTCCAGCAACCTTTCCACCCACCCTTATTTCCAGAAACCTTCTCCACCCACCCCTTCCCCCTTTGGCCACTCTCAGAATTTTCTATGACTTGTGATTGCTCTACCCTCACAGGACTTTTGGACACAACTTCTGACCTCTCTGGCTTGCTGGTGTGATTGCCACAGTCTGGCGTTGCTGGTCCTCAGCAGAACTGATCCCCTGGGCCTCGCCCCTCTATATTCATTGCCTTCCCTGTATTTACATCAGAGCCCATGGCTCTGTTGCCGTCCTCACTTTCAAACTTGTTGAACCTCAACCCATGACAAGAAATATACTTCGTACATCACCTAGGACTCTCTGCACACATATTTACATATACACGTGCATATGTGCATTGTCTTCTTTCCACTTTAATTCCACCACAGGTACTTAAAAATTCCTCCCAGAATATCACATCTTAAAACTGTAGCCCTATAGCCTCCCTTCTCTTACCTTCCTCTGGTTGTTGTAAGAGTTGTTTATAGTAACTGTATTAGTCTCCTATGGCTACAGTAACAAATTATCACAAACTTAGTGGCTTAAAACAGCACAAATTTAATCTTACAGTTCTGGAAGTCAAAGTCTAAAATGAAGGTGTTGGCCAGGCCCTCTCCCTGTTTATACCATTTCCAGAGACCGTCTACACACTTAGATGCAAGGGTGCATGAATCCAACCCTAGTTCCACTGTTACATCTTCTTTTGATTTTGACCCTGATGCTTGTCTGTCTTTAAGAACTTGTGATTATATTGGGCACTTCCAGATAACCTGAGATAAGTGCTCCATAAAGACCCCAGACTTAGTCCCATCTGCAATGTACAGTGGTACAATGTAAGGTGACAGCTTCACAAGTCCTGGAGTTAAGACCAGTGGACATTTTTAAGGGATATTTTTCTGCCTATCGCATGAACCATTTTTATTTTTCCAACTTGCATTCACTTTTCAATCTTTTTTAAACAGGTTTATGTTCCCACCCACTGTCCAAAAATGATCTTTCAAGTGCTCCATGTTGCTTAAGCCAATGGGAAGCTTTAGTTGTCCTTCCTGATCTTTTGAGCTTCTGCTTATAGAATAACACTTGCAAAACAATAATATGATATGGGGTGGGGGCGGGAGGCTTAATCTGTTGCACTGTGCTTGGATGTTTTGATGTAAATGGTCCCAAGAGATCCAGTTCTGTTGAGTGGAGCTGGATCGTGTGACAAATAGCATAAAGAAAGGTAGTGGCCAACACAGCCAAGGATTCCTTCTCACCCCTATAACAGTCTGTGGAGCAGACAGGAATCTGAGACCAAGGTCCCTTCTGCCTCGTGGCTCTGCCACCCAAAGAGCCTAGTCATTTCCTTTAACTAGCCAGAGTAACCCATGTGGTCTTGAGGACAAACTGGGAACTTTGACCCTGTGATGTCTGAGAATTACTTTGACATTGTAGTCAGCTGGCCATTCAGCAGGGTTCTGGGAATGTTGGGGTGAGAGACAAAAAGTTCTAACAAGGAACCTGAAGAGAACTAAGTAGGTATACCCACCAGGGGTGGATGCTGGCCTAGAAGTAGCACTAGTGCTGCCCTGAATTCCCAGAGGCAGAATGAAGGCGGCCAGGATGGTCCGCGCTCAGCACTTTAGCAGAGCCCACCTGGGTTCCCAAAGGGAGACTCGAGGCCCAGGACCTTGGCAGTTTCGGCCTGGCAGGGTGCATTGTGAGGTTGGCAGTGCTGTTGTGGGAAGCAGGACACTCAGACTCACACTGGTGCCAGATGTTCTTCTGCTGTTCCTGTCAGCTTTGCCTCTCGAAGTGAACTAAACTTCAGCATCATTCTTCCGTAGTTTTTAAGGTGGAAATAAAAGTTCAGAAATGGAGCTCAGGCCTGGGTTAAGCCTACCTGTAGCTACTCCCAGCCTTCCTTCGTCAGAACGTTCTGGATGGGAAAATGGGACCACCCCAGGCCTGTCTACCTTGGTCTCTTAGACTCTGGCTTTCTTGGAAACCCAGAGAACTGGGCTGAGTGACTCTTGCCAGGAATTATGTTTCTGAGAGGATTTTGAAACTGAGCAGAAGTAAAGGAAGCACGGGTCATCGATGTGGGAATCAGGGTGCTCTGAGATGGCCTTTCCTCCTCCTAGCTCCTCCCTCTCGGAGGCCCATGGCTGCCAGCCGTGTCTCCCACACACCTCACCAAAAAGTCCCTGGCTGTGCTCCCAGCAGCCTTGCTGTTGACCTTGTGAGGTGTGAGAAGGAGGAAGGAATCTACATTTTGGATGAACCTTCCTTCCTCTTTTCTGAGAAATTCTCCAGACCCCGGTGCCTGTCAGCCTTTCCTCAGAGCTCCTCAGAGCACAGGCGGAGCACGGCCTTCTCAACCTGCCTGAGGAGAATCTGAGGACGCTGGGATTGGGAGCCCAGCTTAGCTTCCTGTGGCTGCTACAAAAAATTCCTAAATCTTTTGGGTAGCTGAACACATCAGAAATTTAGTCTCTCCCAGTTCTGGAGGCCAGAAGTCAGACATAGAGTGCTGGCTGCACCTTGTTCTCTCCGAAGGCTCTGAGGAAGACCCACCTTTGCCTCTTCTAGCTTCTAGTGGTGGCCAGAAATCCTCACTTTCCTCAGCTTGGAGATGCTTCTCTCCAGTCTTCACATGGCTGTCTTCCTTCTGAGTCTCCTCCTCCTCTTTAAGGATAGAACAGTTATACGGTATTAAGGGTCCCTCTATGTATGGCCTCATTTTAACTGACTCTATCTGCAGTGACCCTATTTCCAAGTAAGGTCATGCTCTGAGGTTGCTGGTGAACACACATCTGCAGGAACACTATCCAATCCACAGCTAAATCCCACCATCCACCTTCCCTTGCCCACTGCACCACATGTCTTCCTGGCAGGCCTTGCACAGCCCAGAGAACCCCACCTAGCTTTCCTATCCAGGGCCATGCTGGGCCAGGAGTGGTTTCCTGAGGTAGAATGCCCCCTCTCTCCCTTCAGGAACGTCTAGGAGATCAGGGAATGCAAGTCTCCTTCGTGACAGGCAGCCACATGCCTAGGGACACCCACTCAGCCTATTTTCCTCTTTAGAAAGGAGCTTCAGAACTCTGTCGCCCCTGGCCAATGTGCTAGTGCTTCCTGAAGGGGAAAATGCCCTCCTAGCCTCACAATGGGCCATCCCAAAACAACGCTCCTCACCCAGTCACGGCAGCTGCCTGCTCCTGCAGCCCCAGCTCAGACCTCATTTGGAGACCTTTTCACATCACCTTCTATGGAGGTTGCACTCCACCTCTTCCAGACCCAGCAGCCCCTTCTCCCAGGCACCCATGTCCTCCTGCTTCTAACCCATGAAGGAGTGGTGGGTTCCTGGTCCTCTTGTAACCCAGCTGAATATTTTCCAGGTTACCTAACCAAACTCCTGCAAAACCACACCGCCTATGCCTGTGATGGGGACCATTTGAATCTCCAGTGCCCTCGACATTCTACGATAAGTGTCCAATCAGCATTTTATGGGCAAGATTACCAAATGTGTACTTCCCAGCAGCCTGACTCCCAGAGGGAAGACAGCTTAAACTGTGTGGCACCCACCACCTTGCAGGTATTGCCTTTTGTAGATACGTTAAGATGATCAAATGGATCTCTCTCTCTCTCTCTCTCTCTCTCTCTCCCTCTCTCTCCTTTTCCTCTCCCCACTTCCCTATATATATTTGTGAAACAAACCTGATCCATGAAAATCCCAGTTATTCATAAAAATCACCAATTTTGCAAGTGAGCTGTTACTTGCTTCCAAAATAGTCCTTTGCCATACAAGTACAAATAGAATCCCTACCTACTGGCAAGCACCCTAGTACAACTGCAGTATGAACTTCCTTACAGGAAAACTCCTTATGGCAGAGAAGCACAGAGTAACCATGTTGGGCTTCAACCAGCAGGCCCACACCCCCCATGAATACACTAGTGGAAAAGGGATTCTTTGGCAGAAACAAGTTATCTCTGTGAAGCCGACACATGAGGTCACAACCAACTTCTTAGACAATGATCTTCGGAAGAAAAACATCAATGATTGTCTTCTGTTTTCTATCATTTGCTTCCCCGCTTGTGAATGATCATGCTGTCCGCACTTGGAGTTATTCTGAGCAGCCTCTGCTGGACTTGCCTTTCTTCTAGATAAAACTAGCAACTGTGGGGAGAGGATTTTAAGTCATTTGTGATGTGTATTTGGGAAAAGAATTGGTAGAGAAAATGGTGAAACTAATATTTTGATAATGGTTTTAGAATATTTATGGCTTTCACATGACCTAAACAATTATTCCACCATCCCGGGTCCCTCAGCACTTAGCTTGTTGGCTGAACTACTTGGTTTTAGACTTTTTAAAATGCCTCCTAAATCCCATATAAAAACACTGATGGCAGCATGTTTAGAGCAGATGTTAAGTTAGAAGTCATTTCCTATGATTTTGCCATAGGAAATGTGGATAAAGATACATTTACTAGGACTAAGGATAAATGGAAGTAGCTTTAACTGTGTTGTTCTTCCTAAGGTCCAAAGGAGAGAGGCAAAAATAATAGGATATGTAAAGAGCTTTTTGATTCTCACCCTATTTATTGCTTTTATTCCAAGAGTCATAGTGTTCAAGTAGCCATGTGATTTGTGAAAACACCAAGTAGTCAGACAGAGTGCATTTGAATGAATTTCCTTGACGTGGTTTCCATACATGTTTCTTTGGGAGGCAAGTGGTTGTTTCCTCATGTAACTTACCCTGCCCTAATTCCTCCCCGTGGTGCTCTGTTCAGAAGCCGCGTTCCTGTTAGCCCGCCCCACTCCACCACCAACTGTCCTGCCCCTCATCCCTAGTACCCACGCTACCTGCTGCCCTCCTAAACACGTGAAAATAGCATTGGCCAGGACCCAAAGGGCAGAAGTGCCTACTTGGTGCAAGTACGAACTCCTGGCAGGCTGGAGGCCGTGCCTTAGCCAGCTATCCCTGAGGGAAGAGGATGCTCCATGAAGCCGACAAGTTAGCATTTGTGGACACAGTTCTGATGCTGTTCGGAGGGCTCGCTTGCCAGAAACATCCCCATGCGCTGTTCTTTTATGCACAATCAAGAGGCCCTTTCCTTTATGACTTTGAAACTGTACCAGGTAGGGAGGCAAGGTGTTTCCTCAGAGGGGTGGTGCTTAAGGTAGAGAGAGAACAGGTTGATGTCCATCCAGGTGACCGCTACTGATCAAGTCCATGACAAAGGTCAACTGGAAGTCCTTCTCTCTGTAGTTTCCAGCTTGTAACACAGTTTGGAAACAGCTTATCCTGGGGCCCACTCTGGGGTTTAGCGGAGGACCTCCTCAGTCCAGTCCTGGAGTATTAAGTAGATTCATGGAACTTTTTTGACTGTATGTAGGGTCTTTTTTACCCAGACCAAACCTGAGACCTCTGAGTTTATCCCATGTAGGTTTCTGTTTGGAAACCAGGAACTGGAATAATAGCAGCAAAACACTGGACCCTTCTGTGAACCAGTGTGGGATGTTATGTGAGCTTCCAAGGGGCAGATTCATTCACAAATGAGGGAGTTGTTTGGAAAAAACCAGGGTGTTTGTAGGAAAGCTTTTAGACCAAGCGCTTCACAGAATGTGTCGGCATTCCACTAAGGGAATTGCTGTACAAGGGAGACATGGTTCTGTTTCCTTGAGTTTGGTCAGGGTGGGAATCAGCTGCTTAACTTTTATTGTTGGAAAGAGTTTGGGAGTCTGAGGCCTGCTCTTCCTACCCTGTGCTCCTGGGACTGGAGAAGGGCCATTTCTAAGGCTGACAACATATGCTATGATTCCGGATGGTCATTGTTGTTTTGGTTCTAAAGTCAAGGCCCCTCCTTGAAATCCCCTCCAGCTCAACACACAAAGAGGTAACGCTGGACCTCGCCCATGTCCCCCGGAGCCTCTGTATGTGGCACTTTACCAAAAGAACCAAGCATTGTGCCAGCTGTGGGTGTAGGGCACTGGCTGTCCGTGGGGTCTGGCTCTGCTCAATCAGGTTTCTCCCCATGGGAAGAGGCAGGCGACAGGCAGCCCGTCACCCTCATATGCATACTTCCAGCCGCACAGCTCCGGCTGCACAGGGCGGCAGCCCACTCCCCGGAGCTCAGAGCAGCCGGGTTTGGGGTCTGGCAGAGACTGTGTGTAGTTTACTGTCCCTTTTCTACCCCTCCTTCCTTCTAGAAGGTGCTGGATGAGTGCCAGAACCAGCGGGCCTGCCACCTCCTGGTCAATAGCCGTGTCTTTGGACCTGACCTTTGTCCAGGAAGCAGTAAATACCTCCTGGTCTCCTTTAAATGCCAACCTAGTAAGTAACTTCTGAGGGGGGCAGTGTGGTGTTTGGGGTTGGTTCCTGGCTTCACTGAAGCTCCTGATGAAAGTTATTTGCCCATGGCCTTTGTCCAACTTTGAAACTTCTGTTAATAGGTATGGGCTGGGATGTGGGGGGAGAATGTGCATCCTCAGTCCGTGAATTTAAGTTAGAATTTTTTTGTTTTGGTACCGGGAATCAAACTCAGGACCTTGCACTTGCCAGGCGAGTGCTTGTGCCACTGAGCTATATCCCTGGCCTGCAATGAATTTAAACTAAACCAATTCCCAGTATCTGAAACTCAATTGTACTGATGTGAAGAATAACTGGGGTGCACTCGCTTTCCCTCAAAATGAGCTAATTCTGCTCTTCGGAGACAGTCTTGGCGGGAGGTGAGGACCAGCCTCATGGATGTCACCAGACCCCATGGCCTCAGGTGCTTGTGGCCTTTCATCGAGAGCAATGGCTCCCTGAACCGTGTCTGCTCCTAGGAGAATGTGAGAGGACGTGGCCGGGGCAGTCCCTTTGATTCTGATCCCTGGGTTTTTCTCCATCGCCTTTTGCCATTTCTGCTGCCCATCGCTTTTGTGAGGCAGAAGTAATCACTGTTCAGTGAGAGAATCAGCTTGCAGGAGCAGAGGAGAGAGAAACCGGGAGAAACCCCAGGTAATCGCAGCAGGAGACACTGATGAACGACGCACTGAAGGAACCAGATGATGACTTAACCAGAGTGCAAGGGATACTAATTTACAGCTCTCCCTGCCACCCAACACAGCCACTTTTACTTGTGCACGTTGTTCTTTGTTGGTTCAAGGACTCTCAGAAACCCTCAGTGTTCCCCGAGAGTGGGGGCCTAGAGGGTGGAGGTGGGGGACAGTGCATACGCTTGAGAGATCCCTGATCCTCTCTGTAGCTGTACCCCAATACTGTGCATGCAGACACACTCACACATTCACTGCCACACTCACACTTCCATGTGGCTGCACACGCAATCACATACTCAGTACACCCCACGGACATGCACACTATCATGCACACGTATATCATCATACCCATACACCTTATTGTATGCACTCAAACACATCCGCACAATCATACACATCCACACTACCACACACACGCATTTGCACATGCACATGCATACACATACCCACCCATACTCCCATGCATACACAATCACAAATGTCCATAAGTAAGCCACACAGAGCACTGCAGAACAGCCTATCCCATCCACTCCAGGTACAGTTGACAGGCCAGGGACAATCACCTCCAGGTCTCGGTGCTCTTTGTGATCCTCCTGCAGCTGCACCTCAAAAACAAGATGCCCTTGACTGTGCCCTCGACTTCCAGGAGCTTTGCCTTCATTTTTTCCTTCTATCCTCCACTTCTCTCCTTCGTGGCAAAAAAGAATATCCCTCTCAAGAACCACCCTTGTTCAGATGTTAGCAGTCAATGAATCCAGGTGGTGAGAATATAGCTGTTTATTGTGATATTCTTTCACATTTCCTCAGCATTTAAAATTTTTTAGAGTAAAATGTTGGAAAAAACCCAGCCTCTTAGGGACATCAAGTAGTCCATGTAATATTGGCAGAGCCTTTGTGTATTACTCCATTTTCTGTGATTGTAATGAACTACCCGAGGCTAGGTAAATTATAAAGAAAAGAGGTTTATTCTGGCTCATGGTTCTGGCCCAACATCAAAGGCCTGCACCTGGTGATGGTCTTCTTGCAGAGTCCCGGGGTGGCTTTGAGCATCACATGGTGAGAAACAGGGAGTATATGTGTGTGTGTGTGTGTGTGTGTGTGTGTGTATGTGTGTGTGTGTGTACATGTGTGTGACTCCACTGGTCTCTCTCCCCTCCATATAAAGCCACCAATATCCAATCATAGGAGCTGTATCTGGATGACTTTAATCCTAATCACCTCTAAAGTCTCCAGTCTAAACACCATAGTCGGGTTAAGTTTCTACTATCTTAATATTTTACAGTGGGGCTTAAACTCCAACATGACTTTCCAACAGGACAAATTGCATTCAAGCCAGAGCACCTGGATACTTCCACGGTGGGCCACAGTCTCATTACACAGAGTACAGTTTAGTCTGGGTATTAATTTCGTCTCAGCCAACACTAAGTACCTACTGTGTACAGCTGTTGGGCCAAGTGTTCGGTTTGACGAGACCTCATGTTCCACAGGGGCTTCCTGAGTGGTGGTTCTGTCCTTTTCATACACCCCTTCCAGAGCAGTTTCCACCCTTTATTCAGCGAACATTTACTGAGCTTTCACATAGCTCTCTCCTTACCGTTGCTTATGTTGCAGCCAATGAAAACCTTTCCAGAGGGATTCTCTTTGTCCAAAAATACATAATGAAGACCCCCCACTCTCATGCCTCACCGTTTCTATGAAAGCCACATCACCATTTGGATTTTTCCTGTTCATTTGTGACTTGCTACACACACATACCCCGTCAAAAATGGAAACCATCCAGATGGTAGGGACTCCGTGGCTCACCATTGCGAGCCCAGCACAGCGTGGGAGTTCATGGTAACTATGCTCAGCCAGCAGAAGGCAGGTGTGGAAACCAGGTCTCACAGTCTCATGGGACTGGAAGTTCACGGTGGGATCACAGACATGCATGCAAGATCCCAAGTGGGGTCAGGGCTTCCACGGAGGCACTTGATACCGTGCACGCAGCTCATAGAAGGCATTGACCTCCGTAAAGGTTCAGCAGAACTTCCTGAGCAAGTGATCAGATCTAAAAACTACATGGATGGAGGTAGAAGAGCATAAGAAGAGCACCCCATCCTGAGTCTTGTGGCTGGAGGATGCAGGTGTCTTGGCACAGCCAGTGAGGGAGCCAGGGGTGAGGGTTCTGAGGCTAAGGGAGCAAGAAGGAGCCCAGGCTGGAGGGCTGGGGCAGGATCTAGAGCCCTCATGGCTGAGGAAGGGGTTTGGAGTCTGTCTGCCAGCTGGCCTTGCCAAAGGGCAGTGCTTGATGAGGTCGTGGAACCCCCGCTGGCTGCCTATGGAGAAGAGATGGGGCCGAAGCCCTGTGTGACCTGGCCCTTGGCAGCTTGGGGCCTCGCAGCTTGGGAGGTGGAAATGACACCTTGTCTGCGTCCCCTGTCTCTTTAGCTGCGGCCCTCCTACTTTCTGGGGCTCTTCTCTATCTCCCCAGTTCCACCCCTGTGTGACCTTCTGATTGCCCACTGCTATGTGCAGAGCGGTTATGCATGTCTCTCCCAGCTCTGCCTGTGTTCTATGAAACCTGCCAATTTTCCTGTCAAGTGCCACAAATCAGGGTGGGCAGGTTGGCTTCTTGGAGAGCTAGTTAAACACACTTCACTAGAAACATTTTTCCTTAGTGTGATTCATGTTCCTTCCACTCCCCAAAACTCAACCTTTTAGGGAAGGTTGGTTTCATCAGATGGGGCTTTAGGCAGTTCTGGGTTCATATTCCCTTCTTTGGTTAGCCACTGTGCGATCCAGACAGTGTTAGGACGTTTTTTGAGGCTTCAGGATTCCACTGTAAATGAAGATGGTGCCTCTTCTACACAGGACAATGGGGAAGACTGTAAATATGCAGTGTCATAGCGCAGGATTCACAATGGACTTGAGCTCAGTTGCTGGTAGCTGTTATCCCGATAAGGAGATTAAGGTGATTCTTGCCAAAGCTGTGAATGATTTAAAGGCAGTGGTGCACCAAGGACACACATGGGGAGTGGTGTGGCCTGTCCTGGGTGTGTGGCAGGGTGCGCTGCCGGTGCAGAATTTAAAACACAGTACTAGAGACCAATGTCTGTCTGCATTTTACTACCACCACACACTGGCCACGGCAAGCAATGCAGGTAATAAAATATTCTTATCCGGAGGGATCACTCCCCCTTTCCACATTGGAAAGGCCCTTGCTGATATGCAAATGTGTACAAATGTCCCCAATTTAGGATGGTGGCCTTCAGGATTTTTCAACTTTCTGGTGGTGCAGAAATGATAACACATTTAATAGAGCCCATCCTTTATATTTGTATTTCTGGGTTATTTACTTATTTATATTTTGGTGCTGAGGATTGAACACAGTGGATTTTGAGTTTTGAGCTTTCCTTGAACTAGCCATATGCAATAGGATCTTCTCCTGCAATTCTAGGCGGTGGCAGCGAGCCACAGCTCCCGCTCAGTCATTCGATCATGACCGTGAGCAACAGATACTGTACACTGCACTGGGCTCTTAAGCTATGAGGTTAGGTAGGTCAGGGGGTGTTAAAAGCATTAAATTTTGATTTTTAAGAGGGACAAAAACCTATTTCTGTTTTTAAAAAAGTGTTACAAACCAGGCACAGTGGTGCATGCCTATACTCCCAGCACTCAAAGAGGCTGAGGCAGGAAGATGACAAGTTTGAATTCAACTAGGACAATTTAGCAAAACCCTATCTCAAAACAAAACAAAAAAACACCACACAAAAGGGCTGTAGCTTGGTGGCAGAGTGCCACTGAGTTCAAACCCCCAGTCCTGAAAGCCAAAACCAAAACCAAAGAAGGCTTACAGTATTCTCAACTTGTGATGGATTTATGGGGATGAATCCCCATTGCAAGTGGAGAAGCCTCTCCATGTGTGTTATTAAAGAGAGACTGGGTGGCACATGCAGCCCTGTAATTGGTAGAACGGGGAAGGAGAATTTCATTGCTGTTGTCCTCTAAGCAGTGTTGTGATTCTGTCTTCCCAAGCTCCTGTTACTCTCCCCACCTGCTGTGCAGGAGTTTAGCTCTGGAAGGCTGCCCATCCCTCTACTCTGAGGGCAAATGAGAGCTCTAAACCCAGCTCCATAACAAATCCTAGTTCTCTAAGAAAAGTAGCAATTATGTTAGCAGTCCCATTGTCTTTTACAGCCCAGAAAAGTCACTCTTAGGTGACAGTGAGTTAGCACATTCCCAGGGAACCAAGTGACTCAACATCACACAACAGGAGCTCCAAGGAGGGAATGTGACTTGCAGGGGCTCCTCCCA